CCCCCCACGCAGCCCCCCCCCAGCCACAGCAGCCTGCCCTGGGCTCCATCCAAATGGCTTTTGAACATCCTCATAGTCGTCTTACTCTGAGCAGCCTCGCAGTAGAACTGTTTTCTTATGTTCAGATGGAATTCCAGGTGTTTCAGTTTTTGCCCATTGCTCCTTGGACTGTCAGTGGGCACAACTGAGAAAAGTCTGGGTCCCCCATCTGCATTGCCCCTTCTCCCACATTCAGGTATTTACACACACTGATGAGATCCCCCCTGAGCCTTCTCTTCTCCAGGCAGAACAATCCCAGCTCTCTCAGCCTCTCCTCATATGAAAGATGTTCCAATCCCTTAATCATTTTTATTTAAGAAGTTCACTCTTCCTTTCAGGGAATGCATACCTTAAAATAACCATGTGCATTATTCCTCTGTCCCAGCCAAAAGGTTGTACCTGAAGGTAAATCCATGAAGGGCTTCTCCACCACTCTTTCATATATTCTGAAAAGGAAGGGAAAAAAAATACAGTCCCAAGTTGTTATCATTTCACTTACTCAGAGCTGGAATGTTCCAAATGTGACAACTTCTTACAAAACAACACTCTTTACTTACTTATTGCAGTCCACATGCAAAATCAAGTGAGAGGCACTGATTGCTAAGGAAAGCCTGTGCCATTTATCATCTGCCAAAATGTATGGGAATACTTCTGTGTGGGAGCGATGACTGCCCGAACGATAATGCAACCTGATTTCATTTCGATGACCGCTGCTTTCCAGCTCCAGGTACCTGTACCATAAACGCATCATCATGTCATGAACCGTTCTTATCTGCACAGCAACATTTTACATCACACAACTTCTCATTATCATGCAGGAACTATTTCAGAGAGGGGGAAAGACAAGTAGGGAGATACAAAGATGAATGTATACACTTTTCAGATTTGAACTGCATCCTCCTTCTCAGTAACACGTAATAGCAGGTTCCAGCTTTCATGTAAGTACACAAGATCCCAAGCCCAGTATTTTTTTCCTCTAGCAACACTATTTCCTATAACATGATCTGATTGGAAATATAATTACACTATTATTCATAAATTGCCTCATATCCTGAAAGCACAGTAAGGATACTCTGAAAGCATGAGAGCATAAAAGACAACACCAAGTTTTGCTAAAGGAACATCATTAGCCACTACCAACCAGGGCAGTAAGCAAAAAGAGCATAAAAGACAACACCAAGTTTTGCTATAGGAACATCGTTAGCCACTACCAACCAGGGAAGTAAGCAAAAACGGAGACTGAACGCTGCTTTGTTTGCTTCCAGATGTACTGTTAACATCGCCTTTCATTTTTCGTAATGAAATCTCTCTCAAAAAAATACAAAAATCAAGAAGTGCTAATTCTTCAGAACAATTTATACTTAAAAAAGCAAATGTGTACACATGTAAGTAAGCGTATTTCTGGAGTGTGTGTATACACCTGTATGTTTATGTACGCACATATACACATGTATGTATATACATGGTAAGAAATCAGCGTTGCAGCTGTACCCAGGTAAGTGCACCATATTCCAGATTCGCAGACTGCAAACACAAGCTTCGCCGGTGAAATTCCAGCAGATCAATTTAAAAAGCACCCCACAATCAAACTCGGTACTTAGCCAGGCCTGTTTCGTGCATATCAGACCTCTTCTGGGAACAAGCTTGACAAATCATTTGTCTTCTAAGTACTAAGTTTCTCATTTATAGTCCCACACCCCCCCAAATGCTTTTAAAACAGGAAAGAAGAACAGAAATGGAGATTCTCTAATAATGATATGCAACCTAGAGCTACAGAGCAAGGAAAATAACCTAGTATGTGGTGAGACGCACAACTGGGAGAATGGACAACTCATTTTTGTCTATTTTTGCTGCTGCATCTGCAATCAGGCATGACAGTGATTTGTAATCTGAGTGCACACGTGTTCTAGGGTGATGTCGTTTACTTTAACTGGCTATCTATATTAAAGAACAGACAAGACAGTGATTGCAGTTTTCAAGAGTGAAGATGAGACCAAACCAAACCCATGGTGTCCAATCGTGATCCCCAGGAGCAGGCTGGGCTCCCTGCACATCTCTCCCTCCTTCAGGGTGTTTCACAGTGGAACACGCCTAGCCACAGCACAAAAACAACTATCCTTTTGCAAAACTGGCAAAGGGCAATTTCTTCCTCCTCCACAGTATTAACAAAGCAGTTAACTAGAGTCAGCAATAAATCCTATAATCTGAGATAATTTACCTCCTCATGGCCCAAAAATAATTTTTGCATTGCCAGGAAGTGTAAAGTAATTGAAGGCCTGGCTGGAAAAAAAATTGGGCAATAGTGGCAGGACATCAGTCAACTTAATAACCTGCTCCACAACTGAAGGTTAAAGGACAAAAATAAGATCACTCTCAACCTAGCTGAGAAGGGGAACATTATGGAACTAGACTCCTCCAGCAACTCTTAGGTAACTCCACCCAGTTGCAGATACAATCTGGAAAAAGAAAGGCACGGATATGTTGAAACATTATCTCCTGGTAGAACCAAGGGCTGGCTCCCACTCCCTTCAAAGTCAAGGGCAGCACTGACGCCAGCACACAGAGATGCAGGCAGGCAGGTAACAAGCTACTCCAGCAGACACGGAGTCAGTACAGAAGGTAGAAAACCAACACTCATGTTGCCCCTTATGCCAGTGAGATAACAAAATCTCTGAGAACAAAACATGGATTTCCCAATAAAAAGAAGATATTGCTGTAAAAATTTCAGGAATGAAGAACTGCTGAGAGAGGGTGCTGACATTCGATAACACTGCAATAAGCAAAGAAATCTTCCTACACAAAGCTCTGCAAAAATTGCGGACACTCAGGGTTTGTTTTAACCATGATTAACACGCTGTTTTGAGATCCACAGGCAACCTCTTTTGTCCTTCTGCTTGGTAAACTAACAAATCCATCTACCTTCTAAAGGTTTGATGGTTGTTAGAGAAAACATATATCAAAATGAAAAGGAAAATAATAGCCATTAGGAGAATTATCAGGAGAATAATTTATGGTTTACTAATAATCTGTAGAGGCAGCAGCAAAACACAATTAGAAAAGCAAGTGGAATGACACCCAGAACAATATTGCTTTCAGCTTGAGCTAACACCATGACATCGAAACACCGGGAAGTGAAAGTGAATCATTTTCACTTTTTTTTTTTTACAAAATATTGTGCTTGCTATTCCACTTTTCCAGATTTGTTTAACTGCCTGGACTTAAACATCTCTGGCTCGGCCCCGTGGGTGCCAGCAGACGGGCCAAGCCCCAGCACCGACCAAGGCACAGGGCTGGAGATGCAAAGTCTGCCTGCAGCGAGGCTTCTCGTGCCGTCTGCGAGGCTCCAACACCTGCGTACATGCTCTCCCAAGGTTTGGAAGAGCCTTGGAGAAAATGAGCTAAGCATTAACAAATACACCTGGATTTTAAAAATTCATTTATAGTGGCAAAAATACTGTACAATTCTCCGTACACTCAGGATTAGTAACCTTTTGAGAGAGAAAAGTGGGTGATCTTGGTTCCCAAAGGACTTATTCCCAAAGGAAATGATAACTGCATCCTACTGCAGTCTCCTCCTAACCAAGAGTCTCATCACTGAAAAGTTTCAGGGGAACGCCATTAGCTGAATCACCGGGTTTTTGTCCACCCCAGCCCACGCTCCGCAGGGAGAGCAGCAGCCAAAGAAGCCCCATTACTAATGTCACCGCTGCTTCTCCCAACAGCCCCAAGGCACTCTTCTATGCTGCAAAAGACGAACGGCTCTTGGAGCAAAAAATAAACCACAGTGAGAAACACAGTACAACAGCAGAACCTGCTTCCCCCTTTATTAATGTCCACGATCTCTGTGATCGTTTAATCAACACCAGCCTACTTGATTTTAACCCCAAAAAAACCGCACGCGCTTTGGGTCAAATGGATTTAACTTCGCAGGGAGATGACGCGTGCTTAGGTTTACTGTGTTTGACAATCGGAGAAGAAAGTGGCAACCTGGGGGTTGGGGGGAAGGTTGTTACCTCTCCGTAGATCACACTGTGCACGCACAATCGTTGCAAAGGCAGCAGCCAAGGCCGCAGCGAGATCAGCTGCACTGCTTGGAAACCACCCAGACAGCAATCACTGATGTACTGACTAAGGCTGAGCCTATCTTCGTAAGAGGAAGAAATTTGTCTCAAATGCCCCAGAGGAATTTGAGACAGAAAACAGCGATGTTTTCTCTGGTGCCCAGCACTGATCTATGGTAACTGCGGGCTAAGAGCTGAGAGTCAGCAGATCTGCTCAGCCGCGGAGCCGCGACCGACCGTCCCGGCAAAGGGCCCGTGGTCTGCGCGACCCTGCCCAGGACCTGCTCTTCAGGCTGCGACAGACCAGCGCGGGAGGAGACAGAAGTAGAAGTCGGGATGTACAGCAAAAAGTCAGAGATTTAGGAGGTGAAACACCCAGGAGGCCCTAGCGTACGCGGTAGCGGTCTTTGGGAAGAGGGAGGTATGGCCCTGCCCGCGAACAACCAGCGTTGGGAACGCCGGGGCTCCGACGGCTCGCTCCCTCTTTTGGCATCCCTGCTCACACCACAAATGCACACTGTGGCTGCCCACTCTTACGCCAGGCAACTCATAATTTCAACTTCAATTTACAGCGTGTAGACAAATATTTTAGAATCGGAAGGCAAGATATCATGTCTGCTGCTTATGAATTTATTACAGGCTTTATTTAAAAAAAAAAACTAAACTTTTACTACCCACATTTATAGGTATAGTGTTAAAAGAGTTCTTCACAGCTCTTTGATCTAATCTAAGAAAAGGAAAACCAATAAAACTAAAAAGGAGTATGCACTTAAGAAAATTAAAATCCTTATCTCCATTACTTATAAAAATCTTGTATCAAAAATCTTCAGATAAAAAGTTCTGGCCTTTTTGTTAGGTATAATTACATTTTAAAAAAAAGAGAGATCCTACTCAGTAGACCCTATTCAGTGAAAACTATGGCTACAACAGCAGTGAGCAATACTTCTGGGTGTAGATTATGAAGACGTAAAAGCATTTTCCTGCTGCACAGCCACCACATTCAGCAATGTGTTATTTGCTATTTTCCATGGTATGATGACTGGGCAGTCAGGAGCGTGAGCCTTATTTTTCTATTTGGAAGTAACACTTCAAGTGTTCTGAAACATTAACTGGGAGTTTTTAACCACTTGGTGCATCCCCTAGAACAATACGGCATCAAAATATCCCCAGGCGAATTCTACAGCTGTACAAACCCAGTCCCCATCTCTCATTTACCCTACTGCTCGGCCGTAGGGCCTTTGCCCTTTTCCCTGACTATCCAGAGCTCTACCTAGGCAAGAGATGCCTGGCAGGGGAGTCCCAGCACTTAGCCAGAGAGTGATAAATAAAAAAATGGTCTTCGCTTCTCTGCATAAGTTGGCAGCACTGTGTGCAAGTGGGCAGGAAACCCACCAATTCGGTTTCCGTCCCTTTCTTTTGCCGAATATAGTTTTAGAGACAGACAAGAATTTTCTGAGACAGGACATTTTTGTTCAAAAATGCTGATCCATTCATTAAAACCAAATCTTTTGATAGAAACAAACATTCTCACAGCAAGGTTTGTGTGGTCCAGGATGAAATGCTCATCAAATTGAGAGACAGAGAGCAAATCTAAGACTCTCCAAAAGACTTTCTCAAACACTCTTTAATGCTGCAGTTATTACCTATTGGAGAGCAGAGATCCCAAGTGA